GCTATAGTCCTGAAAACAGCTTAGTATTGGCACAAAAATAGACAGGTAGACCAATGGAATCTAATTGAAAACCCTGATATTAACCCACCCACCTATGAACACATGATTTTTGACAAAGAAGCTAAAATTATACAATGGAATAAAGACGGGAAAATTTTATTTGGGAGACATTTTCATATATTTGGTACATAGTCCTTTGATATCTTGATTCTGGGCCTGCTATAAAGCAGATCTCTGTATATCTGTGGCAATGGATACATAATTGTCTGAATGAATCAATTTTTCTGAAATAGTGGTTAGCTATGGTTAGACAAAGTAGCAACATTGCTTCAGATCTTTCAAATCGCATCTCCAGAGTATTTCAAATTGTGTGTATTTGCAATGTGTTCTAATCTCTTTCATTTAGAATAAATGAAAAATACTACATTTTATCAGCATTCACTAAATATGCATGTGAACTGAAAAAATGTGATTTTTACAATGTATTTTTTACAATCTTTTCTCTGTTTTTTTCATTTATTTAAAATTATTCATGTAGATTTCAAAATTCAACAGCAAACACATTGAAAGGGAAACCTTAAGAATCACATAATTTATTTGTCATCAGAACATGTGATAATGCTTAATAATGCTTCTGTAGGAAAAGAAAGACTCATAGTGTCACAATTTGGTTAATGGTTAATTTTGAGGAGTCTAAAGGTCTACAATGTGTATCACATTATTCTTAAATATAAAAGTTTTAATGAAATGTCTTATCTAGATTATTTCCTCAAATCACTATAAAATTATGATTAGTTATTGAAGTATTTTCCTTTGTCTATAAAATGAAGACTACTCTCAGTCTCACAATGTTTTAAAGAAAGTTTTGTTCAGTTTTGCTGTTGTTTGATTATGATTTAGAAACCTCATTTTGTAGTGATGAAGAACTTCCTGGAACTAACTAATAATCTTATTCAAGTTAAATCAAACTAATCCAAATTAAATGGATTGTATTTCAAAATACTGGGTGAATTAAATGATTAACTTTTTAATTACTTTATTCAAGTAATAAAATAAAGTAACTGAGCCCGGGTACTTAAGAGACAAATAGATTGGTTTGTCTAACAATGACATTTCCATTACTTAAACAATTGATTATGAGTTATTTGACTGATTCCCATCATGGTGAACTTCATCATATCACATGTGTATTGGGGGATGGTCAGGTGCTGTTTCTAAAGTGCATAAAAGAAATAAGAAGTCAATGCTTTCTTTTTATAGAAACCCTGTCTGAAGGTACTGACCAGTGCCCTGCCATACTAGGTTAATCCGTTCTAAAGGCAGGGACCAGAATAACTTAATTACATTGCAATAACTAAGTTATATCTCTGGAAAAGTTCCACCACCTCTTAATCCTCCCATACTGGGGACCACAATACCAATGCATAATCCTGAATCCTGAGGGGTACTGAGCACATCCAAGCTATAGCACCTTTGATTATCATAGCTCTAATGCATTGTTTCATCTTCCTCCTTATTAGCTTTAAACATAGGTTATACAGTGGAGAATATGGGGTTCATTCTTCCAGGAGAGAGAAGTCCAGGCCTTCCCACCTCTTGTATGAGCAAGCTGACTCATTATATACAAGATCATATATTGTAATGCTTTTATTTATCCTGATAGTTTCCCTGGGAAGCCCTTATAAAGCCCATACCTGTTTCTAAGTTCATCTTTCCTTCACAAATCACTTTTACTACCTTTATAGGCCTATTAGCAAGTTTAAAGTTCATGGCACTACAACTTTTCATAGTGTAAATCATTTTGTCTTTCATTGTAAGTGTTAATTTTTAAACATTTCTAGTTTTATTTTAAAGGCTAAAAATCTGTAATAAATTTTGTTTAAACCACAGTTAAGTGACTATATTAGCTTTACGTCGCTTATCATTCAGGATTATACATGGATAAGGACTTTATTTTCATTACTTACCCATTACAATAAAACTATACTTTATCTTCCGATTTATTGGATTCTTTCATTTTTAAGATTGAGTGTTGTACAAATAATTTACACATGATTTAAGTCAAAAAATTAAAAATGAATATAAATAACTTGTAGACATATAGAGACTTTAAAGGACACATGTTCAGTCTCTCTAAAACTCAACAGTGGGATTATGAGTGTGTGTTCTTCATGATTTCTTCACTCTAAAAATACAAGTCCTCATGTCTTACATTGCACTTTGCAAAGAGTGTGGCAAGACAACTTGTGAAAAAATATCACTTGGTTCCTAGTTACAGCAGCAGCATATAAGTGAATGGCTAGTCTTTTCATACTGAGTTTAGGTGTACAAATGACTTTTTGATTAAAAGCTATGTATCTGATTATCTTTTATACACCCTCTTAAAATCTTTAACAATATCTTTATCATACTACACATTTTTTTAGAATATGCTCTGGTTCCAACTCTAATCAATCGTGTCTGGACAAGTGAAGGAGATTAATTGGAAATGCATTAACTACAACTAAAGGCTTTTATTATTGATTCTGTCAGTTTTTCTGACTTCCTACGTCCCCATCCTGCACACTCACATTCCTTATGTCTGTCTCTAGTGCATCACTTTGTTGCTCAGTTGTTCTGCCTTAAGTTTTCAATAACTAGTATGAGTGTAGACTATCCAAAAGGAGACCATGAAATAGTGTTTTGTCCCGACCCACAGGATGTCAACCTGGGGCAAGAAAGTCAGGGATAGGGAATGAGAACAACCACAAGAGAGGAATCTGGATAAAGTGGCAAACTTTATTTTTCTCAGGCTAGCTTATATAGTCAGTAGAGCAGGACATGGGGAGGGGTAGAATGGGTTGTTTGTGCACCAGATGTTAGTGTAGGCAGGATATTAGGAAGCCACAAAGAGGATGTTTGGCAGGATAAAGAGTTCATGAGTAAGAGGTCCAGGAAGGGTTGCCTAGGTGACTGAGCCTGTGGGTGGAGGACTGGGTCAATTTGTTTCTTTCCTTGAGCTGAGGTTCTAAGGAACTGCTATGCAAAGGTTAATATACAATTATGTGGCCAACCAAGAATGTCCTACGATTTCATGCCAAGCCCTGAGATCTTTGGCTCCCAACAGTGTTTGAGTGATTTTTTTCCAAAATACTCATCCCAGGGAACATCAGTGATGTGGCAGTGGCATGTTAATTCATTCTTCCCAACAGTCTTTAATTGAACATTATCTTTTAAAATATTTATCATATTCTTACGTATGTTTGTGGGTTTGTTTTTTTTGTGTGTGTGTGTGTGTGCATGTATCATGTATGTAAGTGTACACACTGATAATAGAAAAGGACATTGGATTCCCTTGGAAGGGAATCCCAAGGTAGTGTTATCTGCCCAAGATGGTTTCAGGAATTTAACTATAGTCTGGTTTTGAAAATCATCTTGTATCTGAATAAATGATTGCTTTTAAGCTAATCAGGGTATTCTCAGTGTTCACAATATTGATATAATGGTTAGTATTTCAATGATAGTCAATCTAGAACTCATATGATGATTAATAATAACACTGGTGAATTTGCCTACATTTTATCCTGAACTAAATTTTCAGCAGCTTAACTGAAATATATTTTAAATCATGCACATGAAAAATATTAAATAACACTATAGGTGGGAAATGAGAATAATTTGAGAAATGTATGGTACCTTGAAAAAAACAAGACTGATAACTCTAATATCTTGAACAAAATATCTTTGTAGATAAAAGAAATTGGATTCATGGAATTGCCTTAGCACAGTGATCCATGTTGCAAATGTTCTTTGAATCTGTCCACTAGACCTTATTTACCCTTTTCTTGTACTGGGAAATGAAACTTTCACTTCTGTCATTCGTATGTAATTAGCAGGCTTTTGGAGGGACTAGATAAATGACCCATAAGTTTTAAAACATTTGCAGAGGATGTGGTCTTAGTTCCTAACATCCACATGATAGCTCACAACCATTCCATAATTCTATTTCTAGAGGATCTGATACTTTCTTCTGACCTCTGTGAGTACCACACCTACATGTAGAAAAAATACTCACATGCATATAATAAAATAGTAAAATGTGGTATTTTGGATTGATGGCTTTAGTTCTATACTGTTAGGTCACCTATAAAAATATTTGCTTACATCAAACTATCTTAAGATATTTGTTCCAAAAATCATTATACAACAAGTATAATTTTCTTTTCAATGTAATTTCTTTCAGGAGAATGACTGAAAAGACATTGTGCTAGGAGAGAATAGAGCCTAACAAACATGAACAAAAATATCCCTGTATTATGAAAATTTAAGCATCAGTTCTTGTAACATTTCCAAAACTACCAAAGACATTATCAAAATATAATTGTCAACTTGAAAACTAGTACGTTCAAGAATAAATAAAGGGAAATGCTATGCCAATGGGGAAAAAATCTACTTAGGAGAATATATGAGCACATTTACTGTAACAAAAATGAAGCAATGTATACATACATTTGATTTTTCCATTTCATATTTGTCAAACTTGCTGAGTTTCAGGAGAAATTTAAATATGTATTTTGTGGGCGTGTATATAATATATATATATATATATATATATATATATATATATATATGAGAGAGATAAATTTGTAGTTCTTTAGAGAAAATATTTGTATTCATGAAAATGAAAATTTCAGGTTTTAGACAAGGAAATCCTACATAGAATTTTTGGCATTTTTTTCTATTTGAGAGACACAGAGTCTCTAGTTTATTGCACATGTGAAAGAAATCATTATAGTCTTTTTGAATCTTGGAAGTGAACTATACTCTTTTTTTAAAAAACTTCTTTATTGAATCATTGGGGGTTTCACATCGTGTACCCCAATTCTGTTCACCTCCTGGTTCCCCATATCCCCTCATCCCTGTTGCACACCCGATGAAAGAAAACAAAACAACGTAAGAAAGCAAGTGAACAAAAGCAAAAACAATAATAAAAAAGCAATAAACCAAAACAACAAACAACAGAACAAAACAACACCCCATTGGAGACTTTAATGTGTCATATAGTACACCCTTTTTCCATTAGCTTGACTGGCAACTGTCCTTTGCAATGAATCATTGGTCTAGTTAGAGGCATCGGGATTTTGGTACACCATCCTCACTGGATCTTCATCAGAGCTCAGTACATTTCTTCATTTAGTTTCTTATTTATTTGTGAGTTTGAGTGCACAAGCCACAGTGCAAACTTGGACTTGGGGGTGGGAAGACAACTTGTGGAAGTCAAATCTTTCTCCATCTTGTGTGTCCAGAGAATTGATGTTAGGTCATCTGGCTTGTCATTTTTACCCTCTGAGTCCTTTCACTGCTCTCTTTTGCACCTCATTGTCCATAAGCCCTTCATCTTCTTTTCTGTACTATTTTAACATTTCCTTTTATAATAATGTCGAAATATATGAAAAAGATAGGAAAAAGGCAAATGGAAAAGATCTCCTTATAAAATTGTATTAACTTGCAAAAATATCAAGTAACTGATTCCACCTATGGTATTTTAGTCTCATTTTTATGTCTTTTCAATACATACTATACTGATAGACAATAATACAAGTATTAATACATCTTGTGCTTTTAGGAAAGGAAAATATTAGGGTATTATGAAACATGTGCTTTGATTGGGCTATGTTAATGTTGGAAAGAATATTACTCTACAAATAGTACAGAGTTCCACAATTTAGAGATCTAAACCACCAAATGAAACTTCATTTAATTTACTAATTAAGTATTTTAAAAGAAATAATTCTTTAACATTTACTAATTCAAGTATAATGTAAAGATTTTATGTATAAGTTTGTAGTTTGACAAACTCCTTGTAACTAATAATTACATCCTTTCAAAGCAATTTCTTCCTCATAGTTAAATTCTTCTTAAGGTTTCTTGACCTCAGCAATTGCTTTTGAGCTAAATATCAACAGAACTCTATTAGTTAGTCTTTCTTGTGCTATGGTAAAATACCATGACTAAAAGTATCTTGAGGAGTAAAGGGTTCAAGTCATATATATCTTTAATAGCACTTAAGAATAGTCAACAATCGTTCATGGTAGGATAAAAATTAAATCCCAGCATATGGGAGGCAGAGGCAGATGTATCTCTAGCAGCTTAAGGTCAACCTGGTTTACATAGTGAGACCCTGTCTCAGAAAAAAACAAACAAACAAAAAACAAAAAAAAAACAGTTTCTATGTGGTGATTCATGTCTGTAATCCCAAAACTTGTGAGACCAAAGTAGGAATTTTCCATGAGTTCAACACAAGCCAGGGATACCTAGCAACCTGTGTCTGTAAGCAAAGAAAACAAAGACATCATAAATTATATGTTTGTTTAGTTCCCTGAAATAAGAAACTTTTTCTTTAAAAAAATGTAAAATGACATTCTCATTCACAATGGGATACTCCCCCCCCATGACTCAAAGTGTAGAATGTTAAACAATAATATACTTATATGCAAGTTATATCAATACATAATAACTATCCCTCTTAAGAAGTAAGTTATTAAATAATATATTTTGGAGGGGTATTCAGATACCATGTGCTATATTCAAAGATTACAGAATATTTATTTTACCTACAATTTTATTCTTTAAAATAAATTTGTGTATTATATTTTGATCTTATTTCCTCCCACTATTTTCCTTGAACCACACATATGACCCACCAATCTGTCCCCATATAGAAAATTCATGTCTTTTGTATTATTGTGGTTGCATGTTATCCTCCTCAGTCCCTTTAGTGCTGCCCACATGCAAATGGGTATGTCACCATCCACTGAAACATGTACAACATTCCTTTCCCTAAATCTGACTCCCCTTCCATGAGTAGCCATCAGTTTTGGGGTGGTAGGCGGTGCTTGTGAACCACTCCACTGTACATGCTGGATTTCTAGCGGCCTAATATTATGCATGTAGCCACAACTGCAGTGAATTGATATGTGCATCAGCCATGTGATATCTAGAACGCGTAATATCTAGATGACGGAGGTTAACTCCTGGAATAATCTGTGGCTGAGAACTCACATTAACCCCTCACTTTAACCAGTTGTGAGTCTCTACATTAACCGTTATTCACTGCAGAAAGAAGCTTCTCTGACCCAGATGGAGAACAGCACAAATCTATGGAAATAGCATAGATATTCAGAAGGCCAATTGACAACAGCAAGGCTTAGGATGCACTCATGAGTCTTATCTAATTTCAAACATTAAAACTTCACAGTAGAAATGGCACAAATCATAACACTCTTCTGTTATTCTCAGAATGGAGAGCTAATAACTGTGGCTTATTAGCTCTTTATTAACTGTGGTTTATAAGTCTTGGTTTATCATCCAGAGAATCCTTTTCAAAGTTGCAAAAAATCATAATTGAATATGACTGTTTAAGTCTAGAAACATTTTAGAGGTATGAGGGGTGTGTGTGTGTGTGTGTGTGTGTGTGTGTGTGTGTGTGTGTGTGTGTGTGTGTGTGTGTGTGTTAGGCAAGTCAAAACAGCAATACAGAAACATTAAAACTTTGTTATTCTAAAGTCATTGTGACTTTGTGAGTAAAGCTTGTTTTGAAAACACAAAATTGTTGACTGAACATGAATGCATCAGGGCCTTATTAAAATTTTCTCTATGCCACCAGACATTCGTTTCATAATCAGTGGGTCTATGAAATCATGAGGGTAACTTGAAAGAAATGAGAAATCAGTATAGCCAGAAGGATTTTAGAAAATTCTTTTGGTATTTAGAAAATTTAAGAGATTGACCCACTTTTAGAAAATCCTTTGATATTACAATATCTGATGAGACACTATGGGATTGGAGAGTGGAATTGCCAGAGCATTCATGGTAAAATAATATTTTTTCCTCTTGCTGAAAATATATTTTAGATCCTTAAACATGACTAACCTATGATTTGTTCAAAATATATTCTGGACTTATATCCTATATCTTGCCCTAAAAATGTTTATTAGCTGTGGATCTCTGCATCGCTATCAGTTACTGGATAAAGATTCTATGAAGACAGGGTAGTCACCTATGTGATTACAGGGATAGGCCAGTTAAGTTCACTATTGCTAGAAGTATTAGCTGGAGTCAGCCTTGTGGATTCATAGCACCAGGTTTCTCCCTAACCGCATAATGGCTCCCTCTATCAAGGGATAGTGATCTTACAGATACCTAAAGAAAAAAGAATGTTTATTAGCTCTCCATTTTAAAGAGAATCCCTTTCTATATAGCCTGGATTTATATCCTGTTGTAATTACATAAATACAACAGTCAAATTAAGACAAAAGTCAAAATGGAAAGAGATATTTGCAGTAACAGAACACTTGAGAATCTCTGAACAGAGATCTTGAATGATTTGCAGTAGTATAATTTATGAACTCCTCATACAAACTGTCTGTGGCTGGAATATAAGTATTTTTATTTCTTATTGTGCTGTAACAGAAGATCACAAAGTTTTAGTTTTAAGCAATATGCTATTACAGTATCATTTTAGAAATAAGGAATCTGAAATGTCTTCCAACACCAAAACACAAAAATATCACAGAGTCGCATTCCCTCTATGGGTGCTGGTAAAGCAATAATTTCCATCCCTTTCTTTTTCTACTTGTAGGGGCCATCCACATTCTTTGCACAGAATATTTTCCAAAACTAGCAGTATGGCACTCCGAATTCAGTCTTTCACTCTTTTCTGAACTTTTCTTCCACTTCTAAGAACTTTGGGGAATTTTTTTGAGCCCACCTGGATGATATAGGAGAGCCTCTACCACAAAAACATAAATTATCAACCTTAATTTCATCTGCAGCCATAGTTATCAAGTTTCAGTGAAGGTCTAAGCCCCTGATGTATCTACATGCAATGGGTTCCAATGACTGCTACTTTTCTTTACCAATGTGGGTAGCAAAACAGAAGTGTAGATTTGCCTCATTGGAACAAGCAGAGGAAATATTCTGCAAAGAAATATTTATCATATATATTAGCTACCATTCTGTTGCTGTGAAAAAAACTCTATAACCAAGGCAACTTATAAAAGATAGCATTTAATTGGGGCTTGCTTACAGTTTCAGACTGTTAGTACATGGTCATCATGGCATGGCTGCAGGCTAGCTAGCACACATGACTCTGGAGAAGTAGCTAAAAGTTTATAGTCTGATCTCCAGGCAGCAGGCAGAGAGGGAGGGAGGGAGGGAGGGAAGGAGAAAGGGAGGGAAGGAGAAAGGGAGGGAGAGTAAGCTGGGCCCATCTTGGACTTGGGAAAACTCCAAAGTCCAGTGACATACCTACTCCAATAAAGACACACTATTTAATCTTTCCTAAATATTTCTCCAGCTGGGGACTAAGCATTCAAATACATGAGCCTATGGGTACCAATCTCATTCAAACCAACATTCCTTGTTTCTAAAAGCAAGTTTTAAAAACATCATGTTTCTAAAACTTAGGAAAATGATAGACATGAGTGGTGGAGTCAGTGAGGGGCAATGTGGAAGACAGCTTAAGTCCTGTTCCTTTTGGATCATCCACACACACTATTCTACAAGCCTAAAACCAGTTTTTTTGTTATTGTTTGTTTTGGTTTTTTTTAGAATTGCCTTAATTTATATGGTAGGGTTGGCACGAGGAAGAAAGCTAGGGAGAACTGTTGTAATTATAATCTCACATATTAAAAAGAAGAAAAAAGTCTTAACTGAAGGTAGTCATAAGATCAATCCTTGGAAAAAGAGAACTCTCAAAAGGGACTGGTGAATAAGTATATAAAAATTGTAATTGACAGTGAAAATCTGAATTCCAATTTGAAGCTGTGTGCTTCAGAATGGCTTCTCTAAATGTGAGGAAGTCCATTGAGATGTGTGGACTTTTGGTCTGTCTGATATCACCAGAAGTTATTTTTCATTTGCAAGTTCTTTACAATAACATTTTAATTTATTATTTAAAAAGAAAGAAGAATAAATGGACAGTAAAAACCACCCACTATTTCATCACACTCAACGCAAAGTCAATATAGGAGCTGTGATACTTAAATGGAAATCGATGGAGAGGTAATTAGTGGAGAAATAAATCCGGACTGTTTGACATTTCAACCTGTTTCACAGCTTTTGCAGTTGGCAAAAATTTTGTTTCAAGTTGTTTGAAGAAATGCTACCTTTGTGAGAAAAAAGTTTTAAATAAGGGAATTTGATAATGTGACAAGATAAGAAATACAAGAATATACATACATCTTAGAAAAATATATCCTATGATTCACATTTGCATCTAAAGCACAGGTACTAACAAAATACCACAGCAAGCATCAGAGAACCCACAGAGAGGAAGAGCACTGACTCAGGGAACTGGTTTATATTTTAAATGTTATGTGCAGGGTGGATCCCCAGGTTCATGAGGTTGATTTATTAGGTCTGTCATGATGCATTGCAAACTTACTATAAAAGTGTTGATCTGATTTTCCCATCTAGTATCAAAGTCCTTATTTATATTCACTGCTTCCTCTTGCAAAAAAAAGAAATACCCAACGAACTAATTTTAACTACTCTTAAATGTAAATTTCTTTTAAATCCATGTTGGATTGTATTTTCCCCTTCAGTCCTAAAGATATTTGTGTCTACTATAAGCAAAACTACTTTGAAAGGACTTTCAAACCAATTTCCTCTTTCAGAAAGGAAATCATGAAGGGAGACAGATCCTACAAACAGGCTAAAATAGGTTAAAGGAGACTTTCTAAAGAGTAGGTAAAACTCAGACCTTAAAAATAGGAAGTAGCTGAGCCGGGTCAATGGTTCAGAACTTCTCATGGCTAACATGATGCCCCTGAAAACTAGCAAGGCCACACTATTTAGCTTTGGTGGCCGTGAGAATGAACTTCATTGGCCAGTTTTGTGTAACTCTTTCACATGGGAATGCAGAAACCTCACAGTGGGCTTTTCAGAACATTAGCTCAAAATCAAGGCTCTATCAGCTCTCAGGAGTCTACGATAGTTTCTCATTTTGTGACTTGTAACAGAAAACAGCAAGTCATTATCAGTATGTTGCTGAAAGCCTAGGCCTACTCACCTCTAGGCAGCTAGAAACTGCCTCCAAGCTGGGCAGACTGTTCTGAGCAGCTCCCTGGCCGCTGGAACACGCTTGTGTGGGGCAGCAGGTTTGCTAGGAGCCGGGAGCACCTGTGGAGAGAGAGCACTTTCCCCGCCTAGGCCGAAGGCCGGGTGGATCCCACAGCCGGTCCCAAATGGGGTGTAGGTTTCCAATATCCCACTCCTGACAACCAGATATAGTGGGAAATTACCAATATGGAGCCAAGTAGAAATATAAGGGTATTTAATAGGGAAAAGCCTTACTTACAGAGCAGCCTAGCCAGCCGGTACAGCAGTGGTCTGTATGCAAGCCCAAAAGTGAAACCGAAAGAGAAACGCAGTCCCCTGAAAGTCTCACTCTACTTCACCCTGACCACGCCCTCGCAAGCAGGGTCAGGCACACATGTAGCCAGCCCCTAAGTAGGCGTGGCTACAGCTTCCCCTACAGTATGTTCTCAAATGAGTTTGGTTCTTTCTTTACCAATATGGAGTACATTAAATAGTAGAAATATTGCCTTCATTTTTCTGCATCATAAATCTACTCTGAAGCTATAAAGCTAACGTGTTTTATTTATTCATTGTTATTTAAGATTGCTCTATAGGCTAAGTCAAGTTCTGTAATTGTAAATGTGCTTTATGATCAGTTATGTCTCAAAGCCAAAGTAATAGTCAATTTTTAAAAAAATTAATGGAAGTATATCATTTCATCACTTCCCTTTCTTCCCCCAAACTTCCCCATGCCCCTTCCCTCTAACACCTCTTATGTGCCCCTCTCATTTCCTCTCTAATTTCCTCTCAAGGCCACTTTATTCTTCTTGTTACACATATATAAAGGCATAAACATACAAATACAACTTACCAAATGTATTTAGTATTGTATGTATGCATTTGATTTCATGGATGACTGAAGGTGATTTTTTAAATTATAAATTGTTATTTTTAACTCTTCCCTTCTAAGCATCATAATTTTTTATTTTTCTATTATTTATATAATTATTCTAATAAAATCAAATTAATATAATTATATATGAAATGTGGAATACTCTCTCAAATTCAAGCACCATAATATGTGATAACAGAAAATAGAAAAATACTTTTATTGTAATCTCTTAATTAATATACTCATAATCACTTCAATTGTAACACAGAGGTGTGGTCCATAGTTGTTCTTGAGACTGCATAGTTCCAATTATATTGATTGATCATAACCATATGATATATTGCCACCTGTATATTCACATTTTTTAGTCTTTGGGAATTATAAAAAATATTATTGATAACATAAGCCACATACCTACAAACACCCGATTTTTGACAAAGAAGATAAAGGTATACAATGAAATAAAGAAAATATCTTCAACAAATAGTGCTGGCATAACTGGCTGACGCCATGTAGAAGACTGCAGATAGGTCCATGTCTATTGCCATGCACAAAACTTAAGTCTAAATGGATCAAAGACCTCAACATAAATCCAGCCACATTGAACCTCTTAGACAAGAAAGTGGGAAGTACCCTTGAATGAATTGGTACAGGAGACCACTTCCTGAACACCAGAAGCAAAGACACTGAGATCAACAATTAATAAATGGGTCCTCCTGAAACTGAGAAGCTTCTGTAAAGCAAAGGACACAGCATGACAAAACAGCAGCCCACAGACTGGGAAAAGATATTCATGAACCACACATCTGACAGATGTCTGATCTCCAAAATATACAAAAAAAAAAAAACCTCAAGAAGTTCGTTTCTAAAACAACAAATAATCCAATTAAAAAGTGGGGTACAGAACTAAATAGACAATTCTCAATACAGGAATCTAAAATGGCTGAAAGACCCATGAGAAAGTGTTCAACACCCTTAGCCATCGGGGAAATGCAGCTCAAACCACTCTGAGATACTATCTTACACCTGTCAGAATGGCTAAAATCAAAAACACCAATGACAGTTATGCGGGAGAGGATGTGGAGAAAGGGGAACACTTCTCCACTGCTGGTGGGAATGCCAACTCGTACAGCCATTTTGGAAATCAGCATGGCCATTCCTCAGGAAAATGAAAATCAGTCTACCCCAAGATCTATGGTACAGCCACTGTGGAAATCAGTATGGCGATTCCTCAGGAAAATGGGAGTCTACCCCAAGATCTAGCAATTCCACTCTTAGGCATATACCCAAAAGAAGCACATTCATACAACAAGGACATCTGTTCTACTCTGTTCATAACAGCATTATTTGTAATAGCCAGAACCTGGAAGCATCCTAGGGCTAATCAACTGAAGAATGGATAGAGAAAATGTGGTACATTTACACAATGGAGTACTACTCAGCAAGGAAAAAAAAAGAATTTTTATCTAATTCAACAAAACTGAGTAGAATTGGTGGTTAAGGTGTGAAACACAGATGTAATTGTCTTAATCATTACCAAATCTCTTTCTATGAGGCTGCATGATCCTAGAGACATGGAAGTAAATATGCTTAAGATTTTGGAGTCTTTTATTTTTGTAGAAAATGTATGATTCAATGGAATTTACTTTTTTGAAGTGGACAATATAAATTTTTGCTTCAGAAATTTTCATTAGTTGTTAAAATTTCTCTTGTTTTAACGTATAGAGGCATTTTCCCAGATAGTGTAGTGTTACAGTATTTTATTTTAATGTGTGGGTTTCTAATATTTATATATTGTGTATGTAGGTTTGGTTTGTAACACATACCTGTTATCTCAAAACTGTGGTAGCTGAGACTGGCATTTGGGGTGTTCAAGGAGAGCCTAGGATACATAGTGGGTTTCATTCTGTCACAGGCTCAACAGCAAGATTTGTTATAGAAAAATTTCTCCAAGGTATTATTTAAATCCCCACCACCACTTTCCCTCCAGACACACACCACATGAACCAAGTGATGAGGTATAATATACTACCAACAACAATAAGAAAACCAGTGTTTGTTTAAACTTAATTGCCTATTCTTTCTGTTATTATTAATCAACAATTTTAGGAAATACCGGTAATCTAGCACCTTCATTCTTTCATACTCTAGTTTGATTAGTATTTTTCCTTAAACTAGTAATCAATGTTGTTACAATAAATCTTTCCACCAAAAGCTGCCTGAGCCCCACCGCCACGTGTGAGCTTTACGTCAGCCGCCTGCCTGAGTTAGGGCCCAAATGAATACACAGAAACTTGTATTAGGTTCAAAGATGCTTGGCCAATGACTAGAACTTCTCATCTGCTAACTCAGTCTTAACTATCATAAGTCTATATGGTTTATAAGACTTATCTTATTGGATGCCTTATTGGCATCCCTCCTTGCCGGTGGGTCACATTTTGCCACTGGAGCAGGAGTGGAGGGGAAAAAGAGGGCCCTTCCTGTTTCTCCTTCGCTTAAATATGAGTCTCCTTGCTATGTCACTTCCTGCCTGGATCAGCAATTCTCTACTACATTTCCCAGAATCCTCTTTGACTTCTAGTCCTGTCTAACTTCCTGTCTCATTGGCCAAACAGTATTTGATTTAACAATCAATAAGATAAACATACACAGTACATTCCCCATCACAATGTATCATTATTATGTAGTTCCCTTGAAAGTATAGATAGGCAACTTGCTAAATTAGGAAACAAAGGGCATCTGCACTCTCATGGAGGAGGGGCCTCTTATAAGCCTACTGAGGTCCTCTTCTTTATGTTTTTAAACTCCTTTCTCCCTTGACTTTTAGAATGGATATTTATGTTGTTAAGAACAATGTCAGTAAATGTATTTACTGGCATGAGGTGCTCAGCAGCCCTAAAGACTGAATCTGATCAATGTTTTACTCAAACAAGACAAGGCTATCCATCAGTAATCTTAAGACATGGACATCTAAATTGGCTTCTTGTATTACAGCCAGATGTACAACCAACTAACAGAGGAAGGAGGTCATAAATTTTTACCTAACATTAGGGTTTGTAAACTTGCCAATTTATCCCTGTATTTTGGACTCTTCAGGCTCTGAAATGAGATGCTACTTTGCATTTTTTTTTTTTACCACTCAGACCATCCCAGTATTTTATCATTTATTTTTAACTCCTATAGGTACCAGTTTTGTTTGACAGGCTATTTGTCTTTTAACCTACTTGGGGGAGGTCCTTCTGTGTATATATTTGTCTTATTGGATGATATATAAAGTATTGTTTGGCCAAAGAGTCAGCAAGTTAGGCAGGACTAGGAGTCAAGGAGGATTCTGAGAAATGTCGTAAATAAGTGGTGATCCAGGCAGGAAGTGACAAAGCAGGGAGACTCATACATAAGCAAGGACAAGAAGGAAGTCATCCCTTTTCCCTTCTCTCTTCCTCCTGGTCTCTGCTCTGGAGTCACCATGTGATCTGCTGGCATGAGAGGGAGCCAGCGGAAGGCATCCTCAGTAAGATAAGTGTTATAAAATATATAGATTTATGATAATTAAGACTGAGCTAGCAGACAAGAAATCCTAGTCATTGGCCAAGCAGCATTTGTACCTAATATAAGTCTCTCTGTGTTACTTGGGACCTTAACGTGGCAGCTGGCGGAACTTGGGCAGCCTGACAGAAAGCACCCAGGTGGCAAAAGGTCCCGTGCAGCTTGGAGTAAAGACTTATTGTCACAACCTACCACTTAAAAGATTGGTATGTATTTTGAGAGTTGTTCAAGATATGTCATCTAACGCATAGATCTTCTTTTGATCTTTGATCTCTTAGGCTAAACCAAGCAAGAACATGCTCTCCGTGTTAGTTTTCAAAATGAAGCAATGGAGTAGTGTGTGGAAAGTTATTGGGAGCCCAGTTTTCCTTAAAAGAAAAGGAACAGACATTAACTAATACATATTGATCTTCTCTTCCCTTTTCCTTCTTGATACCATGTTTCCATATCCATCCACAAAAGTCATTTCTCTCTACACACAATGTTCCCATTATTCTTTATTATTTAGCCTGCTCTACTTCTTCCTGTAACTCAGCCTCCCATAAAATAGTTTACTCCAAGAATAGAACAATGTTCTTCAACAGCTTAAAAAGCAACAAATTTAATCTCTAGCCTCATTCATACTTCCTCAGAAAAAGAATTGTATTTAATGTTATATTTGTTACAAAGTTGGACATAATGTCCTAGAATTTTGTGCATAATTCGCTAAATACAAAATTGATGTTTGAAATGGCAATATAGATACAGATATTCTAGTAAATAAGCTTCTGTTAACAGAAGCTATGTCGGATACTAATTATTTGGATGACTTTGAATTTAAGTAATCTGAGTTAGTCTGTTCAACAGCAACAATGTTACAAGGAGAGTATTGGTAGTTTCCCATGAAAGATTTCCAGAAAGGATTCCTGTCGATAACAGTGACAACTCCAA